ACTATGTTTCCCAGGCCGGCCTTGAACTCCTGGGTTCAAGCAAGCCTCTTGCTCCAGTCTCTCAATAGCCTAGCTGGCTCACTGCACCCGGCTTAGGGTTTTACTCCTGTCACAAGGATGGATTACCTCACTCTCAGCAACTAAATCACCTCTAAATACAAGACAACAGAAAGGGAAGGAACACATCTATTTCCAGTCGAGCAAGGGAGGACATCTTGGCTTTTCATATCTTCAGTGGTGAGTCATTTATAAAAACAGACAGTGCTCTAGGACCTCAGATTTATGCCTCATAAATGCTGACCTTTACCTCTCAAAACTTATAAGAATCAAGATAACAGAGACACTGGGCTAGCATGGTGGCACACGCCTACAATTCAATAGTCAAGAGGCTGGGGCAGGAGGGCACTAGTTCAGGGCAGACTGGATCCTATCTATCTCAAAATAAAACAGAAGAGCCGGCGATATAGCTCAGTAGTACAGTGCCTGCCTGTCAGGCACAAGATTGTGAGTTCAATCCCCTATACCAAAACAAACAAACAAACAAACAAACCCAGAAAAGAAAAACACTGGGATGCAGCTCAATGGTAAGACACTACCAAATTCCTTCAATAGTTAAAAAAAAAATTAAAGGACTGATCGATTGAAGCTTGGATCTCCCTGGGCTCAATTCTCAATATTACAAAGATAGCAGAGAAACAACAGTTGAGTTCTGACATCTGAACCATTGCCAAAAAGTACAAGAGAAAAAAACCCACTGGACATGACAAGCTCAAAAAAAACAGAAACCAAGACAACAGTGATACACTTCACATTTTAATGGCAAACATTATAAAGTCTACAATACAGTTGCTGGCAAGAGAAGATGGGTAAACTACAGAAAATAATTTGGCTTTATAAGATGTATATTCACAAAGCCTACAATGTAGGAATTGCACTCTTCGGTACATAAGTATCCAAGAGAAACTTGCACTAGTGTAGGAAAGTGTTTGTAGCAATGCTGCCCTTAATTAACCAAAAGCTATCAACAGGAAATTGATCAAGGTTGTAGCTCACTGGTACAGTGCCTCCCGAAAACCTTCTTATGAGGGATGCAGTGACACACTTGTCCCAACACTCAGGAGGCTGAGGCAGAAAGATTTTGAGTTAAGAGTCCTCATTGGACTACACAGCTACAAATGATAGAAGAGTGCCATTTAAACCTTGAAAGGTATGTGGATAAGACTTCCTAGGAAGGCCAAATCTAAGAACATAAAAAACGAGAACACTTTCAATCATACTTCAATCAAATGGCTTAAAAGGATAACAGCAACACTGTAAACAAAAGTAAGAGACCACAGTAACCTGGGAAAAAATTTACTAACATGCACAAAAAAATATTGATTTTCATAATGTTAACAATCCAGTATGAATGTAGAATCCAAATGAAAATAGACATATTACACAGTCAGGTGATTATACATATAAATAGCAGATAAACTTACTTAATGAGTCAGACAGGGTGGCACATGCCTGTAACCCCAGCACTTGGGAAGCCCAGGCAGGAGGACTGCCATGAGTTCATTACAAAAAAAAAAAAAAATTAGGGCCAGGGATTTAGCTCAGCAACATAAGTGCCTGCCTGCCAAGTGCAAATTCGTAAGTTCACTCCCCAGTACCAAAAAAAAAAAAAAAAACCAAAAAAAAAAAACACTCGTTTAATCCAAGAAAGCAGTGAGGCAGCGAGATTTTATATAGTACTATAATAAATTTCTAGACCTACTCTAAATTTTAAGGAGGAGTAAATTACTATTGAGTAGCTACTTATAACTGTAGTATAAAGCTTTATTTTCTCCCAATCAACCATTATTGGTTACATGGGGAATCTCTTTTCTTAATTCTCCAGTCAGTAAAACTCAAATTCTTTCCAGAATTGAGGCTGACTGACGCTAAAGCCTCAAGTATGCTAGAACCCAAACTTTAACTCTCACCCAGCACAAGTTAATGCTAGACTTCTCAGGTGATACCAACTTCTAATAGGACAAAGAAGGAACTCGCAGCAATAGCCCCACTGTCTGGTCAGGTCACTTCTCTCCCACGGCACCCCAGGGGAAGCCCTACTGGAAGGGCAGAGAACAGCCCACACGTGGGGTTGAGATCAGCTGAGGAAAGAACAGGAATGTGGCACCCAGTTCAGCAACACGCACTTGAATATGATCAGAAGAGAACAGAAGAAAAGCAACACCTATGGTTAAAACATCTCTAAATCAAGCTGGGCATAGTGGCGCACACCTGTACTCCCAGCATACAGGAGGCTGAAGCAAGAGATAGCTGTGAGTTCAAGACCAGCCTGAACTACATAGTAAGCCCTTGCCTCAAAAAAAATCTCCAAATCCCTTCTTTCAAATTGTAGTTTCTTAAGAAACTGAAGGATGGCACAGCATCTGCCTAGTAAGAGTGAGGTCCTGAGTTTGATTTCCAGTACCAAAAAGAGGAAAAAAAGAAAAGAAAAAAAAAAAAAAAAAAACTAAAGGAAGAGGAAAAGAAATAAGGAATTTAGCCAGGCACATCGTGCAGGCCTATAATTCTAGATAGGAGGCTGAGGCAGCAGAATTACAAACTCTGCAGATCAGCAAAATTAAAAAAAAATTAGGGCCAGGGATGTAGCTCAGTAGGAGAATGTCCCTGGGTTCAATTCCTAGTACAACAAACAACAACAAAAATAGAATTTGCAGTGTGGTTAAGTATCACATAGCTGGGGAGAAGTCATACATCTGATCTTCAAAAGATGATTCTTTAAGTTTCACACAATGAAAATGTTTATCACTACACGGAAGTCCATGTGAAATAAGCCATGAACATGGCTTCAGGGATTCAGTGAAGAAGTTCAACAGAAATACTACCTTTTGAAAAAATTAACTTTTAACCTGATACATAAAAAAATTAAAATTACACATATTTATACAGTACTATAGAATTGTTTCATTCATGATATTTAAATCAAGTTAGATATCTCAACAGTCAAGCTCTGGGATCAACCCTTAGTACCACCAAGAAAAAAAAACATCGTGAGTCCCTCCAGCATCAGCATTCCCACCACCTCTGTAGGATGGCTATCTTTTGCAAAATCTCTGATTAAACCTCCAGGACAGTAAAATCAGTAGAGAGGCTGAAGTTCACTTGAAATGCTGTTATCACTGGAACGGGTTGCCCTTGAGTGGACTTTTATTTAAGGCAGTCGAAACCTTAAGTAAACAAACCCAGCAGCCAGTGATCAAGGCACACCCAGAAACTCTGACTGCACAGTCACAATGGACTGCCCCTTCCCACACACAGCTGGCCTGGCCTGGAGCTACAGCAGGAAAGCAAACACTCCCCACACCTCACACTCTACAGGCAGTGGTGGCGAACCTGTGGCAGGCGTGCAGCACCAGTGTCTTCATTATCACTGAACACTCTAAAAGGTTCACCACCCTGTCACATGGGAACAAAGAAGGAGGATTTAATAAAAGGCAGGGACACTGTAGCCATCATTTTGGTGGCAAAAGCCAAGCCTTTTCTGGTTTCTTTGAGGTGGAGGTACTGAAGACTGAACCTAGTGTCTTGCTTACACTAAGTAAGCATCCTATCACTGATCTATGTCACCACCCCATTTTTATTTATTTTATTTTGAGACAACGTCCCGGGTTGCTCATCCAATTTGTGCCTCCAATTTGTGATCTTCCTGCCTCAGCATCTCAAGTAGCTGAGATTACAGGTATGGGCTCCCATGCCTCGGCCATTCTTACTTTCGTAAGGTAACTTTGGGTTTTTGCTCCTTATATAGTTTCATCTGGGTTTCTAGATGTCCTAAAAAATCAACCATTTAGGATGCTCCACAGAGCTAAGGGAGCTTTCATTAATAACACGTATCTTTGCCCTGTACCTGCCTGGCAGCTGTCCCTCTAGGCCTCCCCATACCCTACTCCCAATGGCCAGAACAAACCTATCCTGGAACCAGTGTCCAGTACTCAACTGACCTTCATGGCAAGAAACCAGTCTGGTCAAAGAAACTGGTAATGGCAGCTTGTGAGGCTGCTTCTAACAGCATCCTAACAGAAACATTCAGTAGCACTCATTTGTAAGTTATTTTTGGAGGAATTGCCTGGGCTTTTCAGCAAATCACAACATAGACAACATAGAGGAAGCCTAGAAAGGTTACCTTACATACCAAAACCAAAGCCAAAACTTCTCATTAAAGAACTCCATCTCATTAAAGTACTCTGTTGGTAACTGAGTGCAGAATTAGTCACCATGGATTGCCAATGTGTCATCCGAGTAACAAAGTTAAAAAGCTGCCAACCACTATGATTCCCAAACATCTCTCGCAACCACGACAACATGGACAACAGTGCTTCCTCCAAGATGATAAGCAGAAAAATCAAGAGTGGGAGAAAGCAGTTGTTTTATTTCGCAAAGTCTAACCTCTTTCTGCATGATTCCCTAGAAGCCTTTCTTTTCAAAGTTCAGATTTACTCTTTTTAAAAGGCAACCTAGCTGGATGTGGTGGTGCATGCCGGTAATCCCAGCACACACAAAGCTGAGACAGGAGGACTGCTCTAAGTTTGACACCATCCTGGGCCACATAGTGAGTTGAAGGATAGCGAGATCCTATCTCCAGAAAGAAGGAAGGAAGGAAGGAAGGAAGGAAGAGAGAGAGGGAGGGAGGGAGGGAGGGAGGGAGGGAAGGTAAGAGGAGAAAGAGAGACACAGAGAGAGAGATGGAGGGAGGGAGGGAGGGAGGGAGGGAGAGAGAGAGAGAGAGAAGGAAGGAAGGAAGGAGGGAGGGAGGGAGACAGAGAGGGAGTGAGTGCCAGCCAGCTGTTGCCTTCTATCCTATCCTCTTAGAATTCATTGTAAAAGGCAAAACAACTTTTGCAACATACACAGTCATTAATTGTGAGTACAAAGTAACAAAGCAACAACAACTGAGATACAGGAATCCAGGAATTTCATGAAAAACTGAAAGCTTTTTTAATACTTACCCACTCTTCAACATTGGGGGGCTGCTCATCATAAATGCGTTCCTTATCCCACAAAATATTAGACTTATCATACCGGTCCATTTTTCTTCGTGTTTTCACAGCAAAGAAAATTATTAAAGCAAAAGCTAACATAATCAGGAACCCCAGTACAATGGCAATAGCCTAAAAAATTAAAGACATTGGCATAATTAATTTTAATTGCTTACTTCACTGCAATCTACCCTCTACAAGTTAAAATCCTTATCCATCTAAGGAGCCATTAAGTATCTGTGGTTTATGTGATATAGAACTGAAACAAATGGTAGCATTTTAGACATACCAGAAAATCTAACCTATACTAACTGAGCAAAGGCCAGCAAAGCACATATACTTGCACAAGAGCGTACATAAGCACGCACACAATCCTTAATTTAATCCTTAGATTATGCTTAAAGCTAAGTACTATCATCACTCCATTTTACAGCTTACAAAACTTTCTGAAGCTAGTTCATGCAGGGGCCCCACTTTTACGAACAGATGAAACACCCCGTAGGTTCAATCAACAGCATACTTCTAAAGGGTTTTAAAAAAATGCTAATCTCAGAATTACCTTTAAATTCCCAAGCATGTTTATAATCTTGTTCAAAACACATGCTTGGCAAACCTTTTTACACTCAATGTAAATTTCATACAAGATCTGTCTTTCCATAAATGATAAAGGCACAAATCTAACCAAGCTGTGAATTATAACCAATGAATAACCCTTTGGTCTACCAGGCTTCTGTTTTCAGTCTTCTGTAAGATAGGGCATATGCCAAGGAAACTCACAACCATGGATGGTTTTTGCAGCATCTGCTAAGTGTATTAAGTGTACACTGGCCTGGGACGGTTTTAAAATTGAGGCAGATACCAGGTAGGTCTGGATATTTGCAAACATTAACTAGGGGCTCTCTTTCCAGCTACCCACAGTGACATCCTTTCTCAAAGAGTGTATGTTTTGAGGAGCCAGAAGATTAGGAGGGATAAGGGTTTGGTAAGATAGAAGTATCAATTCTTAGCCCTATTCACCACAGAAATGTCTGAAATGCAGCAACACACATTCTGAAAGGTCTACCCGCAGGGAAAACAGTCGTTGAAATAAACACAGACAGTTACAGGAGAAAGTCTAACCCCAAAAGAGTGACTCAGTCAGGTAAAACAATGTGAATTCCTGAGTCAAAAGAGAGAGAGAGAGATTAGTAACTCAGAAACTTTCAGGTGTTAATGTAATTAGGTGACTCACGGTTGCTAAAGGCAAGGTTCTTAACTCTACCTGCACATCTGAATCCCTGGATAGCTTTTAAAAATTCAGACACTCTGAAAACTACAAAACACTTCTGAAAGAAACTGAAGACCTACACAAATGGAGAGACATCCTGTGCTCATGGAATAGAAGATTTGTGAAGATGTCACTATGCCCCCAAATTAGTCTAGAGTCCATGTAACTCTTCAAAATCTTAGGGGGCTTTTTTGCAGAAATACACTGGCCCCAAAAATTCATATTGGAAATAAGGAAACCAAAAATCTAGCCAAACCACCCTACCACTTCATGATGTTAAAACTTCCTACAAAGTTAGTCAGCAAGACTATGTGCATAAAGATAGAAACATAGACTAAAGGAATTGATTGAGAGTCCAGAAATAAATGCTCACATTTATGGTCAATTTTTTTAAGAGGTAGAGGTGCTGAGGAATCAAACCCAGGAACTTGTACACACCAGGTAAGTGCTATTATAAGTCATATCCCCAGCCCACAAGGGGTTTTGTTTTGAGACAGTCTTGGTATACAATCTAGGTCACACCTGAACTCACTATGTAACTCTCAAGCTGACGTCAAATTTATGAGTCTCCTACTATAACCTGTCAAGCACTAGGATTACAGTTTGCATTCTTTTTTTTTTTTTTTTTTTTTTTTCTCGGTACCAGGGATCCAGCTCATGACCGCCTGCTTGCAAGGCAGGTGCTTATGCGGCTGAGCTAAATCCCCAGCCCTACAGTGTGTATTCTGACAATGGTATAAAGAATGTTTAATGCAGAAATAGTCCTTTCAACAAATACTATGACAACTACATAGTCACATGCAAAGAATTTTGGACTGGGGCTGGGGATTTAGCTCAGCGGCATAAGCACCTGCCTTGCAAGCAGGCAGTCGTGAGTTCAATCCCCGGTACCAGTAAAAACAAAAAAGACAAAAAAAAAGAATTTTGGACTTCATCACATCACTACCAAAAAATTAACTCAAAATACATCAGAAGTGTGGGGGCTGGGGGTTTAGCTCAGCGGCATAAGCACCTGCCTTGCAAGCAGGCGGTCGTGAGTTCGATCCCCGGTACCGATAAAAATGAAAAAGACAAAAAAAAAAAAAAAAAAATCAGAAGTGTGGTAACACACAACTGTTGCTGTAGCATCTGGAGGGCTGAGGGAAAGGATCTCAAGCTTGAGGCCAGCATGGACCACAGAGCAAGACCCAACCTCAAAAGAGTTGGATGGGGTGTGGTGGCACACACTTGTAATCCCAGCACTTGGGAGGCTGAGGCAGGTGCATTGCCACATGTTCAAGGCCAGCCTGAACTACACTGTAAGACCTTGGCTAAAAAAAAATAAAGAAGTAAAAGAAATAAAGCCAAGTGTGATGGTACTCTAGGAGGCTAAGGCAAAAGCACTGCAAGTTCAAGCCTAACACAGGCAACTTAGCAAGGCCTTGTCACAAAAAAAATAAAACAAAAAGACCCAAAGGCTAAGGGTGTTGCTTACTGCAGAGCTGGGTTCAATATTCAGTTCCACAGGGAAGGAAGGAAGGAAGGTCAGTCAGTCAGTAGCCTAACTGTAAGAGCTAAAATTATACAACTCTTAGTAAAAACACAGAAGCCAGGGATGGTGGTGTACAGCTGTGATCCCAACACTCAGAAGGCTGAGGCAAGAGGATCATCATAAGTTCAAAACCAGGTTAGACAACACAGTGAGGCTCTCTCTCAAACAAAAAAAAAGAAAAGAAACAGAAAACTTTGTGCCTTTGAGTTAGCCAAAGCATTCTTAGATATAATTTCAAAGTACAAACAAAAAAAAAAATACTAGATAAACTTCATCAACCTCAAACCTTTTGTGCAAAAGAGCTTATCTCCAGATATACAAAGAATTAAAAATAGTCTCATTTAAATAAAACTGAATAAAGAAATGGCCACTTCAGCAATGATGATACAGAGATGGCCAATAAGTACACGAAAATGCTGAGTACGTGCATGATCAACAGTACTATCTACTAAGGATATGGAAATCAAAATTACAGTGAAGTCCTGGGCTCAATCCCCAGCACTAGGGGGTCAAAATACAATAAAGTAGTACTTGACACCCTTAGCAAAGCAGAATCAGACAAACTGAGTAACAAATGCTGGTGAGAAATATAGATACTGGAATTTGCATACTTCTCTGCTGAAAATTTTAAATGTGCAATCTTTTTAGAAAAGTCTGACAGCCAAGGGTTTAGCTCAGTTGCATACGTGCCTGCCTGGCAAATGCAAGGTTATGAGTTTGATCTCCAGTACAAAAAAAAAAAATCCGGTAATTCTTTAAAAGGTTAAACAAATAAAGCACAATGACAATTTAGGGAGGTCTAGTCTCAAAAAAAATAAGGCTGGGGATGTAGCTCAGTGCACAGGTCCTGGGTTCAATCCCCAGTACCACCTTCCCCCCAAAAGAAAACCTGAACTTCAATGTTTACAACAACTTGTATGTACTTCAATGTTCACAACAACTTGTATGTACAGCAGTGATCATTACATTATTCCTTTCTTTCTTTTCTTCTTTTTTTTTTTTTTTTTGGTCTTTTTGAGACAAGGTCTCACTACAGAGCTCAGGCTGGCCTTGGGCTCACTTTGTAGTCCAGGCTGCTCTTGAACACGCAAACAATTCTCCTGCTTCACTCAGCCTCCCAAGTGCTGGGATTATAGGAGGGTGCCACCATGCCTGACTAATTACATTATTTCTAATGGTCATACAGAATCAGCTCCAATGTTCAGCCACTGATAAATCAATAAAATTTGGCATACACATTCACTGGAAGATAATCATAAAAAGAAAAAAAGGACTCAGACAAGCTAAAACATAGATAAACCTTAAAAACATTATGGTAAGCAAAAAAAGCCAATCATATAAGACCACATATTCTGAGATTACAATAAAATACCCGAGGACGTAAATCCAGAGAGGTAGGATTAGTGGTTGCCTAGGGAAGGTTAGGAAAATGGCTACATTCTACAACTATCTGTGATGATATTTGTACAATTCTGTGAACGTATGACAGATCTGAGCTGTTCTTTAAAGGATTCTACGGTACTTTAATGATTTTTTTTTTTTTTGTCTTTTTCCTTTTTATCGGTACCAGGGATCGAACTCACAACTGCCTGCTTGCAAGGCAGGCGCTTATGCCGCTGAGCTAAATCCCCAGCCCCCCTTTAATGATATCTTAATAGCGATACACAGTGCTTCCCTGAGATTCCAATATAACTAGAAATAGTTTTTTGGTTTTTGTTTTTTTTTTTGTACCAGGGATTGAATTTACAGCCTTGCGCTTGCCTGGCAGGTGCTGAGCCACTGAGCTATATATACCTGACTAGAAATGGGCTCTTGGCATCAAATTTTTTTAGGTCTTTTTTGTTGTTGTTAAAGTATCAATATTTTCAAATTATTCTTAGAGTAACTCTGTTATGTATCTCACACTGATAGCTTCTGACATAAGGAGAGGGGAATGAAATAAAAAAACAAACACTACTCATACCTCCTGGGGATCCACCACACAGTAGTGATACAAATACTGGTCCACGTAGATGCTACTACCTGCAGCTGTGTAGAACTGGCTACAGAGGGTATATATCGGTGAGCCATATATAGATCCAGATGCCTGGGCAGTGGGGTTGACACCCATTATATAGACAATGGTGGCAATAAACACCATGATGCCCAAAATGGCACTCAATATTATTACAGTCAAGTAGTATCTCCTTGTTCTGGACAATTCAGATCTTATAACACTGGTAATAAATATCACCAGTGAAGCAATGAAACAAAAGGCAGCCATGGCCAACAGGAAGCCTTTGGCCGCTCTTGGATCAGTGTAGCCTGCTCCATAGCCATAACCGTAGCCATAACCATAGCCATAGCCATAGCCATAGCTACTTCCTCCGTAAGGGTAGCCCACACCACTTCCCAGAAGGCCAGTTCCATAGCCTCTGTCCCAGGCAAGCGTGGAGGCAACACAGGCAAACACAGAAATGCACATCACAATAATGAGCATAGCCAGGATCCGAATCACTCCTGGGGGAGAGGTCCATTTGTAGAAATGAAGGATTTCATCTTCTGGGTAAAAGGAATATGCTGGCTGAGACAGCATCGGTCGAACATGCATTTCTCCACCATATATGTCATTGCTTGGTGCGTAATGATTTGGTTTGCTGAAATGCACATCAAAACAAGTTAAAGTTAGCACTTTTAAGTGACAGGCAGAAAGAACATATAAAGTTCTTGTAATCATTCAAACAAACCATAACAAAACTATTATTACTGCCACTGGCAGTAAAAGTATCCTCACACTGTACAATAAGGAAAATCTGCAGTGGAATCATCCAAAGAGCTTGTTAAAGGGTGGGCTCAGCAAGGCTAAGACAAAACATGTTTCCAGTTAACAAAGATGCTGCTCTGCTTGCAAATGCATCGTGAGAATGACAGTTCTAGTGTACTATGGAACACAGGTTCTCAGAATTTGCTCCATAGTAGACACCTGGAAAAGTATAAAACTCTGGGAATGGGACTGAGTATGTAGCACAGTGGTCGAATGCTTGCCTAGCAAGTGCAAGGGTCAACGTTCTATCTCCAGTACAGAAAAAAAACAAAAACCTTCAGATGTTGTACACTTTATCAGTTAAATCAAAATCCCTTAAGATTTTTGATGATACAGATGAGATCTCTGGTGTCAACCCTTTTGCTTCTGTGACACAAGATAGATGCATTCAGATTTAACACTTACAACTGGCCTCCAGGGTCATACACAATCCCTGACAGCCTCCTACTGAAGAGGCACCTTCATTAACTTATTCTTGTGACATCTATTTACTGCAGTTACCGAGATGACTCATACTGGGAAATGGGGATAACAAAAAACCACCATAATCCCACTGCACAGTTTAATCTGTCCAGGGAGTAACATACTAAGAAAAAAAGTACCTTTTTACATCTTATAAAGCCAAATTATTTTCTGTATTTTTAAAGTCTTCCCCCAACCCCATACAGGGACTTTGTTCTAGGCTATGTCCCCAGCCTCTTTTATTTATTACTTTGAGACAGGGTCTTGCTGAATTGTACAGGCTAGTTCAGATTCTCAATTCTCCTGTCTCCACTTCTCAGAGCGTGTATACCACAATGACAGGCTAGGTGTTCTGTTGTTTTGTGACCTAAGTAATGACTGTATGGATGTCTGCTTTTAATTCATCAATCATTATTTGTGTCTTTTTCTACATATGCATTATGGTTCATGCTTTTTTTAACAAAGGTAACGCACAATAAAATTGTTAGGTTAATGGAGCACTACTAAATTAAGATGTTCTCCAGTTCCCCCTCCACCCACCCCAGCCAGTGGTCCTGGGGATTAATCCGATCCACACATGCTAGGCCAATTCTCTACCACTGAGCTAATCCTGGCCTCTCCAACATATTTTAAGGACCACACTATCATAAACTGTGTCCCTATCATGTTCAGGCAATAACTGAGGAGGCTACATAACTGGAAGACAGGCCACAAGTATAACTGAAATATATATTTGATTTTAATTCCTGTAACCTGTCACACAACTGAAATCCTAGGATTTTCCAAGGGCTACACAACTTTTTGTATGCTAATGAGCTGGACACCAACCCCAAAGCTTCAGGACGGGGGTTGCTCAGTTAAGAGTAAATCATGGTTTTCTGGGCCCTAATTTCAGGGAGTGGACAGGGGCTAATGGTTAAGTCAATCACCAATGGCCAATGATTTAATCAGTTACATCCACATAATGAAGTTTCCATAAAAGCCAGCAAAGCACTGGGTTCACAAGACTGAACAAACTGGGTTCACAAACAGCTGACCAGGTGGAGCTTCCTGGAGAGCTGCTCACCCACAGGGCATGGCAGTGCCACGCCTCTCTCCACACCTGTACCTCTTTTATCTAATATTCACTGGTAAATGTCAATATTGTCAGTGGGTCCCTTGGTTCTGTGAGCTGCTCTACCCACTTAACACCAACAAAAGGTTATATGAATCCCAATTTACAGCCAAAAAAGCTCAGGCAAAACCTGTGCTTGTAAACTGGTATCCAAAGTGGAGGACAGTACTTTGGGACTGGCCTCCACTGAGATCCCCAGTCCCCCCAAATAGAGGGCCAGGGCCAAGCTGGAGGACAGCCTGGCTGAGTCCACTGGGAGCTGAGCATGCACAGCCAGTGAGGAGAAATCCCCATGTATCTGTGGTGACCAGGGGCCACAGAGCCATTCTCTACCAACTGTGTGGTAAGAATACAGTAAGAGAAATTTAGTTTTTTCCCTGTATTAAATCCTGACAATTACTCAAGTTAAAGTTACAAGCTATTTAAAAGAAATCCAAATCAATGTTTGACAAGCATAAAATTTAAGAATTCACCAATACACTCCCAAGTACCCTTTTAAAGTTAACAATATGGAAAACATTCTGCTAAGTGAAGAAGCCAGTTACAAAAGGCCACTTATTATACAACTCCATTTGTGTGAAATACCTAGAACAGAGAAATGCAGAGACAAAGAGTAGACTGGTGGCTGTTTACAAGTGGAAGACTTGGAAGTGACTGCTAGGGGTGAGAGTGATTAATGAAAGTATTCTAAAATTAATTGTATTAAGCCAGGTGTGGTGGTACAGGCCTGTAATCTCAGCACTTGGGAGGCTGAGGCACAACTGCCATGAGTTTGAGGCCAGATCGGGCTACATAGTTCAAGGCCAGCCTGCACTACATAGCAAGACCTTATCTCAAAACAAAACAAAACACCCAACTAAATTAAATTAATTGATGTTGTATAAGACTGTGAATACAAAAAAAAAAGACTATGAATATACTAAAAGCCAGTAGACCGGCATAGTGGTACATTCCTGTGATCCCAACACTCAGGAGGCTGAGGCAGGAAGACTGCTGGGAGCTTTTAGGCCAGCCTGGGTTACACAGTGAGTTCAAGGCCAGCCTGAATTACAGGGCAAAATCCTGTGTAAAAAAACAATACAAAACAAAACCCAAAACCAAAAAAAAAAAAAAAAAAAGCCAGTGAACTATTAATTCTAAATGAATAAATTGCATGGCATATGAACTACATCTCAATTAAGCTGTCAATATTTAACAGTATGTCAACAACAGAAATCTAAAAAGCATGACTACTGAATTTTCATACCTAATATGTGAAAAACAAAAGGAATATACACACAATTATACAACTAGACAGTCTCTAGAGGGAAAGATGAGAAATGGGAGACAGAAGTTGCCTCGGCCTAGTTAAGTATAACAAGGAAACTCACTTTTTACTATACAGTCTTTGGTACAATTCAAATTTACAAGTGCACAGATTGACACTAAACAGATGAGTTTCAAATGCACATTTTTTTTACATACATCTTATTTAAAAAGAAAATAACTAAAGAATTATTTACTTACAATTCATCAGGTCTATACGGAGGAGGACTTTCAAATGGCCTCGATGACATGATGTTGTCACTGGTCACCTGATCTTTAAGATGAGCAATGTCTTGGTAGCTTCCAAATAAGCTAATCAAGCAACAAAAGTAGGGCAATGCATTACTACTGAGGTCAGAGCTGTCCTGTATTACTACGGTGACTAAATGCTCCATTCATCAGTATCAGCTCACGCCAGCCACTGCTCTTGCCCTCTCCACGAATGGTTTTACCTGCTAGACATTAATTCCTTGAGAAGAGAGCACAGGAATCATTTGGCCTCACAGTCCTCCTAGCACACCCAGTACACTGGTATATTTTCAAAGGCTTAAAAATGTTATCCATTTAAAATAATAGTGAACCCACCTGTCCCAACACTCGAGAGGCTGAGCCAATTGCTGGGAGTTCAAGACCAGCCTGGGCTACATAGTGAGTTCAAAGCCAGTCTGAAGACCCTGTCACATAGAGAAAGTCTGTCACAAAGTAACAACAAGTAGCCATAAAATGAAATTAAAAAATAAAATAATGGCTGGGCATGGTGGCACACACCTATAATCCTAGCACTTGGGAGGCTGAGGCAGGAGGATCACTGTAAGCTCAAAACCAGCCTGGGCTACAAAGTGAGCCCAAGGCAAGCCTGAACTGCATAGTGAAACCCTATCTCAAAAAGACCAAATTAAATAATAAAGTAAAATAAAAATAAAATAAATAAAATTAACCCATTATATGTTAGCAAAAATAACATTTATGAGAAATAATTACATTTTCTACAATAAGAATTCATAAGAACAGTAACATTTAAAACTTTTTTTTATATCTCTGTAATGTCTGACTATAGAAGATAACTGGATCCTCACATCACTTCTGCATTTGGGCTGTGTAGATAAAGAATATTCAGCTTCCCCCAGAAAAAGCAAGAATATTTGAGCAGACCAGATTATTGGGAACATACAGCCTTGTTATTACAGCAAAGCTTCAATTGTAGTTTTTTAAAAGGTTAGTTGCAATACGAAACCTAAAACTGAAAAGATGATCTTTTCACTTACATATATTTTTTTCTTACTTTTCTTGCTTTTTTTTTTCTTTGAGAGAAGGTCTTGTAGCCCAGGCTGACATCAAACTCATGGCAATCCTCCTGCCTACAGCCCACAGTGGCCTACAACCTTCCGCCTCAGCATCCTGAATGCTGGTATTACAGGCATTGCACAACCATGCCCATTGTGTTTTGTTTTGTAAAACAGGGTCTCACTATGTAACCCAGGCTGCCCTACAATTTAAAGTGATCCTGCTGCCTCAGCCTTCAGAGTGCTTGCCAGCAAAACCAGTAGATTTTTTTTTTTTTTTTTTTTGGGGCGGTACTGGGAATTGAACTCACGACCTTGTGCTTGCCAGGCAGGTGCTGAGCCACTGAGCTAGGTCCCCAGCCCAAGATCAATAGATTTTAAAGTAACAGAATATAAAAAGTCTGCCTGAGTGTGGTGGCACGTGCCAGAGATGAAATACACTGACTTCATATTAAAGAATCCTTTTCTAAGAGAAAAGTAAAGTGACTTTGTTTTAAAATCTCTCAAAACACAAATCCCTGGACATTTGAAAAGTAGTTTCACTCAACAAGTATTTATTAAGCGCCTAACCCTACAGAGAAGCCTGTGAAGCGAGGAATGGATGTGACTGTGCAGGTCACCTATTACAGCGCTCCCGCAGGGCTGCACCATGCACTCAAGCGCAGCCTGGGAAAGACTCCAGGAAGACGCGGGAGCACGGGCCCTCTGGCTAGCTAGATGCTGCCATGCATGCAGCTGGTTATGAAGAGCAGAGAGACAAAGGAAGGGTTAATCTCTCAAATAAGCCTCTGATGAGAAGATGGAGGGCTAAGGATGGTGTGGAGGACAAGAGGAGCTTTGTTGTTTTCTTTTGAGACTGGGTCTTGCTATGTACCCCAGGCTGGCCTCAAACTCCTGGCAATCCTCCTGCCTCAGCCTTCTGAGTGTCAGGATTATGGGCATGTGCCACTACGCTGGGCATCCAAAGAGGGGTCTAAAAGTATGGTGCACATCTCTGCTCTCATTCAGGAGCTCATGATTCTCTGTAGGGGAGACAAAAATAAGGCAAAAAAGAAAGAAAAAAAAGAGCTCCTGAGACTAGCAGCTGCAAATGCAGAGGTGACGAAAGATTATTTTAGGAGCTGGGAGAGAAAAAAAATCTAAGATGTACTAAAAAAAAAAGTCTAAGATGTACTGCATCAGCCAGGTGCTTTACAAAATTCTCACCTCACCCTCAAACAACCTGAATACCTACCACTTTCCAGTTACATCGTGGATCAGACAAAGGTGTGACTATGCTTAAAGTCAAGACAGGGCTGTGAGCCACTGAGAACTTGCGCCCAGATCACCTGTGCTTTCCACTATCAAAGCTCTTTTCCCCCCATCCTGAGACAGGATCTTGCAGTGTTTTTCAGGCTGGCCTCACACGCATCACCATCCGCCATCCTACTGCTTCAACCTGAGTGCCAAGTGACAGGTATGTGCACCACGCCCTGTTCAATCACAGCTTTTAAAGGCAACTGCCCATCTGGGATAAACTGGTCTTCATGTGGGGGAGTCAGCTGTGTCAGGGTGCATGGACACCACCTGCCTAGGTCCACAGGGCACCAAGTATTCTCCTGGAAAATGTTTGGCCAGTCTCAGGGATGAAACCCAAATGCCTGAGACTTGCTCTAGAAAACCTAGTGTTGGGACCACTGCCAGGGACCCACTACACCAGTTTTAGCACTTCACACCTCTCCCACTAGAAGCAGTGAAACTGCAGTCATTCTTTCCAGGACACTCATTAATGAGGAAGGGAGCTGTTTCCTGGAAGCACTGATGAAAACAGTATTTTTTTTTTTTTTTTTTTTTTGTCTTTTTCCTTTTTATCGGTACCGGGGATCGAACTCATGACTGCCTGCTTGCAAGTCAGGCGCTTATGCCACTGAGCTAAATCCCCAGCCCTGAAAACAGTATTTTAAACCAGGTGCGGTGGTGCATGCCTATAACCCCAGCATTTGAGAGGCTGAGGCAGAAAGACTGCCATGGGTTCAAGGCCAGTTTGGGATACATAAGAGAATTCAGGCCAGCCTGAATTACATAGCAGGACCTTATCTCAAAAATATATAAATTAATTAATTAAATAAAGTTTTAAAACAATAACTTATGACATTTTGAAATTTTATTGTAGTTTTTCTTTTTATCCTTGAATAAAATGGATTAAAAAAATAAAGCTTTGTTATCCCATGCTAAAAAAAAGGACTTAAAATGTTTTAAAACAATGTTTACTGATTAAAACAATGCCAGGTACATGGTAGATGTGCAAATATTTGAAGGTTTACATGAATCAGATTTGGTTGTGGGTATTTCTGCCTGCAGTATCTCTTGTGCTTTCAGGTCAAAGGTAAAGGAAAAGTATCAAGATAACTATATAAGGTGCTACCCTCAGATGGGAGTTTTGAGTATTTTATAGTTCTTTCTCCTTTTCAAATAAAATCTGTGCAAGTGTATGACAATGCTAAGAATAGTAAATCAATTCAAACTCCTACACTTCATTCTTCAGTAATGTGTCCGAAAAATTTAAATTTAAAAAATGTGTCTAGTGTGGCAGTTCATACCTATAATCCCAACACTCAAGAGGCTGAGGCAGGAGGATCACTATGCGCTCAAAACCTGTTCTCCATTGTTCAAGGCCAGCCTGAACTACAAAGCAAGGCTGTCTTACACAAAAAAGCAACTGTCATCTTCCACATCCTGGAGTACATTCAAATCCCTATCTCTCAGAATAAAACCCACCAAGTGTAAACTAGATAAATCTCAAGGATAGAAATAAATATACTGAATGCTAGTAATACCAACAGAGGTTCTGTAACTTCCCAAATACAGTGACATAAAACATTTGCGCTACCTTAATTTTTTAAAAACCACTTTAATAAAGTACACCATATACTCTGGCCAAAAACATGGAACCACACCACGACTCCCTGCTCTCCATCCTCCCATCCAGCCTAGTGGTTCTTGTCCATCCACCCTCAAGCCAGTCCCCTGTCCCTCCCCACCACCTTGGCCCACATTCCCCTGCCACCTACTTCCCCACCCCACCCCAGGGTCTTTGCACCCCAGTGTCCATGACAGAGGTGTAGCTGGCTCTTCCAGTGGCCAAGGTGCTCCTGAGACTCAGGTGGACCCAGCTTGACTTTTTTCAGCCACCTGATCCCATTTGTTTGTGACCCATCAACTGTCACTCTCACTTTTTTTTAAATGCTCAGATTCCAGCACCAGACCCTGGTGTTGTCTTGTGGCCCTGCCTGCACCCTGTGTCCTGCAGACGGCTAGGACACACAGAACTGTTAGAGTGAGGCTGGGCCTGTCCCGCTCTTGTTGTGCTACTACCACTGGGCACGCGGTCACACCTGTGACCCGCACCAAGCCTGGACACCAGCAACAGGGACAGAGTGGCAACCATGGGGAGCCAAGGTTATTTTAACCAGCATGTCTTCAAGGCCAAGCTGAGTTGAGCCTGGCATCTGGGTACAACATTAACTTTCTACCTTGAAGATACAAGAACTATGTGGACATCAGGAGATGGTCCAATTGTTGGTCCTTTTTCCTCCCATCCCAATAGAATGTCAAAACTCCTTTTCTGTACAAACACATATATGTATTATTCTGACCTTGATATTAACTCTGGTTAACCTATACACATTTGGTAATTCTACTTGGACTATTATTTTTTTTTAAATACTTCTTAATATTTTTTTGAGACAGTCTCATTAGGTAGCTCAGGCTAATCTCAAACTCACTAAGTAGCCCAGAGTGGGCTCAAACTCCAGGTGAACCTTCTGCCTCAGCCTCTGGAATGATGGGACTGTGTTTTCTCCCAGTTGGTGCAGTATCCTCTTGGAGACTCATGCAGTGTTTATCAATAAATTTTTCACTTTCCTGTTACTCAAAAAAAAAAAAAAGCACAGCATACAAAAAGTACATAAAGCCATTTGTGGACTAGGGGGAAGAGAAGGCCATACCAGGAAGCAAGTCCAGCCTGGGAACCAGGGCCATGTGCAGACTGCTGCTGGACTGGGAACAGGCAGACCCCAGCTCCTTGCAGCCCCTGAACTGGTAAACAAGTATCAACCCTACCCCACTCCCACCATAAGCAACTGACTTATCCAGAGAAACACAGGCTGTAATAATAGCTAATGGAGGTGAAATGCAATTGGATGCCTGTGGTGCTTTGGTGTTTCACTAACATTGCAGGTGGAGGGCCAGTGGTCTGATCACAGGTTCGGAGGATAGCAGTACCAGTGTGGCATTTAGGTGGGGATCTCCTTCTGAGGGTTGTAGCCACTGTTGATTCCCTATGGTATTGTTTTGAAGTCCTGTATCATTTCCAGTGTTTTGTTGGGTTGGGTTTTATTCTCTTTTGTTTT